GACCGCCAATAAATAATTACCCCAACCAGATGGTGAATCCGGGAATATTTACAACGCTTCTTACGCCTGTAAACCTCAAACAGTTGAAGCATCCATATAGTAAATTAAAGTAGGTAATTTAAGTTTTAGCTTTAATTGTTATAAATTATTGTTAAGAGCATATGCGTGACACAATCTGCTGTTGAGTATCCTTGACACTACCAATAAAGCATCACTCATATTTACTAATGGAATTTTATAACAGAAACAGAATTAAAAAAAAGATCTATGTCACCGAAGGAAAAAGAAAAAATGTTGCAGTTTAGCAAGTCATCTCGTTTTGACCATCAATCGGTCAGATTTATTTAGAGAAATAAGCTTTTCTCTCGAAGACAATATCCAATAGTATGTATATCGTTTTGTATTAATCTCTATGTATATCTCCGATTAGACATATATAGTCCATCAATTTTCCTTCATTTTATATGTATCCCAGTTCTTGTCGTCTGTCAGTCATCATAACTTGTATTGATTGCATTGTCACCTAAAAGTAAGCTCACCATAATCCGTACAAAGCATCTACTAACTGATGAAATTCACAAAGAATTAAAAAAAATTAATTTCAGGTTACAGATTTTCAATTTCACATTCATTCTACACAGTCAGACTTTCTTTGCCATTCGCAGTGGGAAGCACCCGGCAATGAAGTCACAAAAAATTCATTTAATAAAATAAAATAAATTAAAAAACACAATATCATAAAGAAAAGTAATATTTATCTTTTAAAGCAAACTCTTCTGCTATATCATTTTATCTTTAAGAAAGATTGAAAAGACTACCGCTTACAAGGAGATTGGTACATTTCGGAGTAATTAATATGTCGTCGCTGTTTCACGGTGGATTCAGATAAATAATGGAACAGCCGTTTAAGCATCAGAATGTTTCGACGTCACTATCTTTGACCAGAAGCGCCCTACCAAAGAAAAGGAACAAAGCATTGAAAATACACAACTTTCAATGACTTTTTATTCATTTAGGGAATTACGGATCCTATTAAAACACTAATGGAATAATGTAAATTTAAAAAAAAAAACTAAAATTACAAATATTGTATTTTAAAAAAATTAGTAAAGCTATTTAATTTTAGAAATTACTTTTTCATTTTGTAATTATGAGCAAGACCCTTCAGAAATTCAATAGGATTTAATGATTCAACTTCCATTATAACTTTTAGTGCACTGAAGGAAATATAATATAAAAATACCTCTTTTTCTTAAATTTCTTAAATTTAAAAATGCCTCTAACTACTCCTTTTCTTAAATATAAAATTACTTCCAACAACTCTTTTGCTTAAATTAGACTATTTTAGCAAATTTAAATATAACGACGAAGTACTAATTTGATTAAAGAGTAAGAGAGAGAGAGACAGAGAAAGAGAGAGAGAGAAATAAGAGAAATGAGAGAGAGAGAGAAATGAGTATGCATGTGATCACTGAAAAAGTTGATAATGCAAACAGATAATGTAAAATTCTTTTGCTGATATTGTTTGAGTAGGTTTTTTTTTAAGCATTTTACCTCAAGCAAGGCTGGAAGCCATTGCACGCAAGGGGTTACAGAGGATTTGGAGCGAGAGCAGATAGGAGTGATAGAGGAAAGGATGAGGAGAAGGATAGTGGATAGATCAAGGCATCTGGAGACGTCGATTGACATTACATTTGAATATTTGGAGATTATAGCTATCGGGGAAACAGGAACAGGGAAGGGAGTTCCACAGGCGAGAGGTGCGAGATAAGAAGCTTGTGAGGTAGAAGAGACGGCTATATTGAACAGTGGGATGCCAGTCTCGTAGGACACTTGAATTCATGAAGTCTGGAAACCAGTGAAAGCAACTCATCGGAGCAATTACCATGAAAATATTTTTAATAAAAGACAGAGAGAGGCGATGACACGTCTGTGAGAGAGACGGCAGCAGATGAGATGCCAGATCAGGGGCAATTATATATCCGTCTCTGGATCTTATCCAGAACCCCGAGGCAAACAGAAGGGGCTCCAGACCACATATAGCAGCAATACTCCATGCAAGGGCGAATGGTTGTTTTGTAGATTTGAAGGATCGATTCCGGGGAGGATAAAAATTTCCTGGCGCGGCACACAGAGCAATCTTTCCTTGCGGTGGACGAAGCAATTGACTCAATGTATTTGTTCCATCTTAGGTCAGCAGACAACGTGAGACCGAGCAGCCGCAGAGAGGTGCTCTCGAGAAGTTGAGCGTCAGACATTCTAATGGCTGGGGGGGATAGAGGGCAGGGAAGGATATCTGTGGTGATTAATAATGAGCAGTTTTGTTTTTGAGGCGTTAAAGTTAACCAGGCAAATCCTGCGCCAGTTCACAACCGATTGGAGGTCCTTTTTGAGACGAAAAAAGATTCTAAGCCTCATGTCTCCACTCTTGTCAAAAATCAGGTTGCAGCAACATACATTAAAATTACAGTAAATATCATTTATAAATCTTTGCCGAGGTTAAGCGACCTGGTCTTGAATCTATTAAAGGATGGTTCTCCGATCACTACACTCTTAACTTCTTCGTCTAGGGTTAACCGTTATCTTCCCCACATATCCACATAAACCGTGCCTCTTATTCTGTAACTTTCTACATCGAGTGGCTCTCGGGCCTTATACGGGTGGACATCATTGTAAAAAAAAAAAAGAATAAAATGTTAGCCATGCAACAATTTTCAGTAATGACAAACATTTTACAAGTTCTGAGGATCAAGAAAACCCAACGGGAAAAATCACCGCCACATTGGCCCAACCCCACCTAAATGATTCGTAGCGTATAAACCATTGGTTTCAAGGGTGACGTAGATCAATTACAAACAGCAATCCATCTTATACTTTCATTAGTAGAGACGTGCGAGCTATCCACGCTTCTCCAGCAGACATGAAAATCTCTCCAAAATATTTGTTCGTAAAGTAAGTCATAATTTAGTTAAGACAATATGAGATTTGTTTTATCTAGCAAAGGAGTACTTCACGGCAAGAGCCAACTTCATACCATTGACTAAGTCATTTAAGACTCAAAATAAAGCTTTACAGAAACTATGTTCCAGAAGTAGAACGAAAGTCATGATGGCACATACACAACTACATAAAAATTCAGCATGTGGAATTAATAAAACATTTCAAATACATTGATTTATAATTCATTTATAAGAAAATTACTATAGGGGAAAGTAAATTAAGTATAGAATAGATAGAGTTAGGAGTAGTTTTGTCCAACACTGTAAATTTATATAAAACCGAAACATTAACCTGAAACCTCAAAATATGTTCTTAAATAACCTCGTCAGATCAACACTTTCATATATCTGTCATGCATGACACGAAACCTGTTCAAAATATCTAAACTGACAGTTGTATACAGCCGCTTTCTCAGACCAATGATTAAAAATAGCTTCGAGCTAATGAAGCATGTAGTTCTAAGAGAGGAGTATATTTCTTCGAATCTCTCGAACTGGCGCTACAGAATCGTAAAACAGAAATCACACCTCTTGAAGATTTTCAAGAACAACAACTAAAATGGATATCACATGTAAAAAAAGAGAAATCACATCTCTTCAAGTCTTTCAGTACGAGGAATAACTAAAATGGATATCACATGCAAAATAATAGAAATCACATCTCTTGAAGATTTTCAATACCAGGAAGAACTAAAATGGATATCACATGTAAAATAATAGAAATCTCATCTCTTGAAGACTTTCCGTACTAGGAATAATTAAACTGGATATCACATATAAAATAATAGAAATTACATTTCTTGAATATTTTCAGTACCATGAACAACTAAAATGGATATCACATATAAAATAATAGATATCACATCTCTTGAAGACTTTCAGTACCAGGAACAACTATAATGGATATCACATGTAACTCAAAGTGAAATTAATGATATAATCAATATGTTGACGTTCCACACTATTTAAAAAAGGTTAGAAAGGAAACCCCCATCAATACTGGAAACCCCACCATTAATACTAGAACGAGCAATACCAGTTATTAGACATGAGAAACACAACGTTACTGAAAAATCTTTCTAATAGAAAGATGTTATAAATTTCAACCGAGAGTAGCAACGGAAATGGCTAATATTACCATAAACATTTGTGAGAAGTAAACATAAAAATGTTTAATTTAGAATTTGAACTCAGGACGTTTTCTCCATTTTCTGAAGTGATAAAAGTCATGTTTCTCAGTACCTGCAACAGATGTATGTATTAACGTATCATAATATACTATTTTTTAATCATATATTTCTTCATTTCTCTTCGTTTTTCCGAACACATATATTTATATAAACAGAAAGAACAGAGTGAATTCCTTATGCTTTCTAACGGAGATAAAACTTTATCAATATCATTTTTTATGTTCATATCTTAGCACAAAATTAACTACAACAATTATGAAACGCGAACTAGAATAAATGAAATGGAAAAAGAATATTGACAAAATGAATTTTGGAAAAATCAAACGAAATAAAAACTATTAAAAATAATAAAAAATAATAACATAAGAGACATAATGGATTTGCCTAGTCTCTTCATGAAGAACGGAAATACAGCCATTTTGACTCGACGCATAGTCGAATGTAAACGATGATCTTCAGTCAACTGGAATTGAAAGATTGTCATCTGACATTGTGTCGAATCTCAAAACAACTGAAAGCTTGTCTCACGCAATATTTCATTCTCGAAGAAAAAAATAAATCTATTTTTTTTATTATCTATTTTTTATTTTATATTGCATCATTACAATTTTCTCTCATTTTTCTTTTGTTTGGTTTCTCTTCCATAATAGAATATTTCCATCATTGTTTCTTCTTTCAATAAAACCACTTTTATCTTCGAAATCAGTCTCGATTCAGATAACCTAAGACTGACACGAGCCATTGTCATCGGACGCCTAGTGAATGGTGAACAGGTATGATAGTATTGTGCTATGGTAGTGATTGATACAGCATGCCCAGATATATATGCATACGTGTGCATGGTTTTGATCTATCTATCTATCTGTTACATACCGTACCTATGAACACTAATGGCTATGTCCCAATCCCCATAAATACTTTCGACACTGTTGTAAGTAAGGATAATATGCTGTATAAGTAGTTCACCACTAGCAGTGGCTTACCTACTTCATGCCGCTGGCGAGTATTGTAATTGTTGATGTTATAAAAATTGCCATTTCATTTACAACCTCCCTTTTGGTTATTCCTCATTCAGCAACCTTTTCTAGACTGCAACACTATCTATCTATCTATCTATCTATCTATCTATCTATCTATCTATCTATCTGTTATATGCCATACCTATGAACACTAATGGGTATGTCCCAATCCTCATAAATACTTTCGACACTGTTCAACAAGTAAGGGTAATGTGCTATATAAGTAGTCCACCACTAGCAGTGGTTTACCTACTTCATGCCGCTAGCGAGTATTGTATTTTGTTGATGTTATAAAAATTGCCATTTCATTTACAACCTCCCTTTTGGTTATTCCTCATTCAGCAACCTTTTCTAGACTGCAACACTATCTATCTATCTATCTATCTATCTATCTATCTATCTATCTATTATATGCCATACCTATGAACACTAATGGGTATGTCCCAATCCTCATAAATACTTTCGACACTGTTCAACAAGTATCTATCTATATAAGTAGTCCACCACTAGCAGTGGTTTACCTACTTCATTCCGCTAGCGAGTATTGTATTTTGTTGATGTTATAAAGATTGTCATTTCATTTACAACCTCCCTTTTGGTTATTCCTCATTCAGTAACCTTTTCTAGGCTACAACAATATCTATCTATCTATCTATCTATCTATCTATCTATCTATCTATCTATCTATCTATCTATCTATCTGCCGTGGTCACTGTATAATTTTCATTTCAATAACTTAAACGAAATAGATGAGTTGATTGAATTGAAAAGGAAAAAAAAGTTCCCCTTTCTTTCTTTCTTTCTTTCTTTCTTTCTTTCTTTCTTTCTTTCTTTCTTTCTTTCTACAGTGATAGAAAACGAAATGAGGAACTGCCTAACATACCAAGGGTGAACAAACCATAACCACATAGTACTCCATTTGAAATGACAGACATTAAGATGAAAGAAATGGAAGACTTTGTAAGAAAGGCACGCAGTAAAAACCGTCCAGGCAATGGTGTATAAGAAATCTCCCCTCCTGCGAAATAGACTGTTTCTATTACTTCGAAAGGTATGGCAAATGAGAATAATTTTCGAACGGTGGCAATTAGCAGAAGCGATATACTTAACCAAAGAGCGAACTCAGAAAGGTTAGGACAGTTTCGACTAATACCTCTTCTGAACATTGATGCAAAAATACTCTTTGGTGTTATCAGAAAGAAAATAATAGAATATGCCAGGAAGAATGGTTACATAAATTAATCGGTTCAAAAAGCAGGTCTTCCAAGTATCCCAGTTTGTATTGAACACACATATTCTGTATGGAATACGATACAAGAAGTAAAAAACACACGGGGATTGAGAAGGCAATGGAAAACCTTTGGTTTCCTTAAGGACATGTTTATACGTTACTATGATAGATTCTGTACCCGTTTCTCCACGGAGGTTTTTACTACAGCATGGCAAAAACTAGAGGTAGGTATCGCTGCTGGTTGCACAATTTCTGTCATCGTCTTTGTACTTGTGATGGAATTGATATTGAGATCATCCAAAGAAGAAACTATTGTGATAAAACCTTCACTAAAAGCTTTCATGGATGACATTACAGGGGCAAACTCGTTTAATTCAGTGGGGAAAGTTTTGGAAAGACTTGACAATATCATCAAATAATCGCGAATGAAATTCAAAGCCAAAAATTCAAGTTGTACGATTATAAATGGAAATCAGGAGGAGGTAAGGTTCAGTTGACAACATCCCAACAGTAAAAGAGGAACCTGTAAAAAGCTTTGGTCAGTTTTACAAAAATGGCTTGAATGACAGACATAAATGGGTTCAGGTTTAACAACAACATCAGGAATGATTGAAAGCAATAGACAATGTAAGACTGAGTGGGAAATTCAAGTGTCTGCAATACGGCCTGTACCTTAGGTTAATATGGCATCATACGATGTATGAGATAGCTGAAACTAGAGTTGAACGGATCAAGCAGCAGTGTTCAGTGTAGATTAGAAAGTGTTTGGGTTTTCCAAAGCAGATAACACCACAATTATCTGTGGAAAAATGGATCAATTGAAAGTCTCTATCGTCTCCATGACAGAAGAATAAAAAGCCGGAAAATGTTGTACAGTTATGATGTTGCGATTTTCAAACGATGTAGGCATCCAGATGTAAAAACGTACAAAAAGTGCAAAGCTGAAGAAACAGTTAATGATGCTATTTGCAACCTCAAGCATAGGGATAAAGTAGGCACAGTTCAAGAAGGTAAAAGTGCGTTAGGCACTTGAAAGTCCACCACATTTTGCAATAGTACCAACGTACAAAAAAAGAGTTGCAGTGGTAACAGAAGCTAGGTTGGTGGGGTAGGAAAAGAGATACCTTCACTTGGTACAATGTAATCACCAAAGACAGTGTTTAAGATGGGAAGAGAAGGTGATAGAACGAAAATTAAGCTGAAATGAGAACTAGTCATGGGCACCTACTCGTCTGGATTTCCTGATTAAGTCTATCTATGACATATCGCCATCCCCAGCAAATCTTGTACGTTGGAAAATTTCAGATGACCCAAGTGAAAGTGTAGTGAACATGATACATACCCTTTCAGCCTGTCCATTGGGTCTGAAAGAAAGATAAACGTGGTGACATAATCAAGTCTTGAAGGTGTTTTACCTTTCCTTCAGGAAGAAGATTGAGGATATCAATGAAGGAAAGGGATCTACCAAGCTAGTGATGACTAAAGTACAGTTTCAAAAAGAAGGCAGAAGGGCCACCACTAGATGATCTCAAATGAAAATAATGGAGGATAAAAGGTGGCCAGGAGAATGGAAAACAGCAGCAGACCTCGATTCTGTACTTGCCTTTCGTATTATAGCAACAAGACAACGGCCAGACCTAGTGTTATGGAATGAAAATGACAAAAAGGTACTGTTGTTGGAACTGGCAGTCCATTGGGAAGACAATTTGGAACAAGCAGGGCAAAGAAAATTTGAGAGATATGAAGACCTGATAGACAAATAGGAAGAATGTGGATGAAAGTTTGAATTCTACCATCTAGCTGTAGGAAAAGTTGTTGCCAAAGTGCTCAGAAGAGAATTTGGCTACAACAACAGGAGATAAAAAGCGTGGTAGCAGATCATCAGGAGACAGTGGAAAAAGCATCGCTTTTTATATGGTTAATGTCTGATGATAACAGTTGATTGGAGAACAATTGTTGGCGGGAAAGAGCAGTTAGCAATGGTCCAAAAGAAGCCTGATCTCTGATTTTTTGTTTAGTAAATTCGTTTGCAGTGTGTATGATATTATTGCTACTTTTTCGTGTAGGCAAAGTAGGCATTTTTTGTAATGTTGCTGTAGGCAGGAGCTTTTTTCAATACGTTCCAAATTATTGTTGGTGTGATATTTCTATTCACATACATATGGCAGCAAAAAGACAGAAATATCACACCTAAAAGTAGCAATAATATCACACACACCGCAAAAGAATTTACTAAACAAAAAATGTATCCATGAGGACAAGTACCTATTATCCGAATTTATACCAAACGGATAAAAAAAAGACAAACCACCAACAATCACAATTTAATTCAAGCTACCATCACAATAATTACATTTATCGTTATCGCTATTATCATTGCACCATTATTAGTAATCACTTCTACCACTTTACAATAAGTATTAACTACTAATATTATCATTACCACCAACACGCAACACTATTACTGCCACATCACATCTACTTAACATATAAATCCACTATAATTATTAACGTAAATTACTCCCCCCGGCATATTTAATACCACCAAATAAAAACCAATAAGATCAGAGATAATTTCCAAATGTAGGCATGAGATTAACTACCTATTACCAGAATTTATACCAAAATAAATAAATAAATAAATAAATATAGAAAATAAAATAAACCACCAACAATCACTCTTTAGTTCAAGCTAGCACCACAATAATTACTTTTATTGTTTTTTATCATTCTCCCACCACCATTTATAATCACTACTAACAATTTACAATAACTATTAACCACTTATATTATCATTGTCACCAACCCACTTACACATTACTATCACATCACATCTACTATTATCATATAAACCCATCATAATTATAAATGTAAACTACCCCCTCCCCCAGCATATTTAATACCAACATAAAAATAACCAATAAGGATTACAAACTGAAATTTCTACCAGTCACATATACACAGTCATCAAAAAATTAAAAAAACAAGCAAATAACCAGCTTTAAAATAATAACATTTTTTTTAAAATTGAAAATAAAAATTATAGCAATTTTCTACTATCATGATTTTATACAGAATACCCATTATCAGGATTTAAACCAAAATAAATTAATATACATAACAAAATAAAATAAAACACCAACAATCACTTTTTAGTTCAAGCTACCATCACAATAATTACATTTATTGTTTTTATCATTCTCCCACCACCATTACTAATCACTTTTACCAATTTACAATAACTATTAGCTATATTATCATTGTCTCCAATCCCTTACAACATTACTAGCACATCACATCTACTATTATCATATAGACCCGCTATAAATCATTAACGTAAACTACTCCTTCATCCAGCATATTAAATACCACCATAAAAAATAACCAATAAGGATTACAAACCGACATTTCTACCAGTTACATATACACAGTCATCAAAAACAAGCAAATAACCAGCTTTAAATTAATAACAAATAACCCCTTTTTTTAAATTAAAAATAAAAATAATAATAATTTTTACCTATCATAATTTTACACAGACCCCACCACACGTATATACATACATGCGAGGAAATATTATTCAGTGAAAAAATAGAAAAATGCTCTGATTGCTGACATGTATACATTCACGAGAAATTTTCGCTACACTTCCAATCTTTGAATTTCAACATACAAATGCGTATGTATAAACACAACACCACCCATATACATACATATGTGAAATCCGAAACTGTCCACATATGTTTATATATGTATGAGTTCCGACGGACGAGCAAGTGTGTATGTGTGTCAGCGTACCTCATCTAATGTACGGACATGCATCTATGTTTGCGTTAGCACGATGACATCACGACGACGATTTCCCCCACTCCCATAATAACACCAATACACGCAATCTACATAAACCCAAAATTTAAAAAAAATTAATCAGTTCGTTTGACGATCGCAAAAGCGTGAAACCCAGGGTCACAAACTCACATCAATCCAACCAAATATGTTCGCTCTATCTCTGATATTGAGCCCTTTCTAATAAGTACCGCGCATATAATATATAAATAATTATATATATATATATATATATATATATATATATATATATATATATTTATATTTACACATACACACACACACACACACACACATTATATATATATATATATATATATATATATATATATATATTAGGATATTAAAACATGTTCAAAATTGCTACATAATGGCAATTATGTTTCAACACTACAAATATGTCTTCTCAGGTGATTTTAAACTACTGTTCTCATTTTATCTGAATATATATATATATATATATATATATATATATATATATATATATATATATATATATATATATATCCTGTGTATATCCTGATAAAAGATTATTTCTTTAGTTTAGGTTGCATCCTCGGCATTCGAAAACTTATCCGGGAAATAAGCATTTTCCCCATTGTGCTATGACGGGAACGTGATATGCGCGCGCGAGCACACACACGCGAGCACGCACATATATATGTATGTATGTATGTATGTGTGTGTATATTTTTGCAGTATGTTTTCATTTAAGCAAAATTTATTTATTATTTCCGTGGTCATATCTATGCCAAAATCATCTAAATGTACCAGCATCTCTATTATAATTCCGTCTGGCCCTACCGCTTTGTTTC